TCGAATCTTCTGCTGCATCTTTTTTCTATTTTTGGCCGAGGAGGGCTCCCAAGAAATGCTTAAGGAGATCCCAGGTGCCGCACCCAGGGTTTCTCTCCAGCGCGGTGACTCTGGTTACCCAGATTACCCAGACCACCCCAGAGTGATCAAGGGCCCCCAGAGATGCACCCGTAGATGCTCAGTGTATCATATAATGCTGGGCCTGGAACCTAAATTGGCCACTAATATGACATGGTCTTAACCTCTGTACTAGCTCTCTGACACCCACATCTGATTCTTGAGCAAGTCACCCCTGGACCAGGAACAACTTTTGTTTTTCTTTTTGGGTGTGCCGGGTGTCGAACCAACTGCCTCACTCATGCAAGACTCTACCACTGAACTACTGAACTACTCCCTGGTCCTGGGAACACATTTTTTTTTCTTTTTGGGTCACACCCAGCGATGCACAGGGGTTACTCCTGGCTCTGCACTCAAGAATTACCCCTGGTGGTGCTCAGAGGACCATATGGGATGCTGGGAATCAAACCCGGGTCGACCATGTGCAAGGCAAACACCCTACCCGCTGTGCTATTGCTCCAGCCCTCGGGAACACTTTTTTTTTTTTTTTTTGCTTTTTGGGTCACACCTGGCGATGCACAGGGATTACTCCTGGCTCTGCACTCAGAAATTACTCCAGGCGGTGCTCAGGGGACCATACGGGATACTGGGAATCGAACCCGGGTCGGCCGCGTGCAAGGCAAATGCCCTACCCGCTGTGCTATCTCTCCAGCCCCATGGGAACACATATTTTTTAACATTGATTTCAACAGCTTGAAATGACAGAACTCTGTGGGTCAGGGAGAGATGGCAAGGCAGGTAGAGCACTTGTCTCTACCAAAGCCAAACCAGGTTGAATCCCAACACCACAAACAGTCTACTGAGGCCGCCAGGAGTAAGCCCTGAGCGTTACCGGGTGTAGCCCACAAACAAGCAAAAACCATACAGCTAGTGTGGATTTCGAATTTGAACTCAGAAGACATATCCCTGGGTCTTTAGTTTTCAGAGATACTCCTTCCTCTCAGAACTTCCTACCGAGCTTTGCCAGCTCATGAAGGAAGCACCCCTCCTATGTGTCAGGTAATAGCCATCATAATATCCATGGGCTGGAGCGATAGCACAGCTGTAGGTCATTTGCCTTGTGCAGAGTAGACCCGACCGACCCAGGTTCAATTCTTCCGCCCCTCTCAGAGAGCCCGCCAAGCTACCCACAGTATCTTGCCCGCACGGCAAAGCCTGGCAAGCTACCCGTGACATATTCGATATGTCAAACAAGTCTCACAATGGAGACGTTACTGGGCCCGCTCGAGCAAGTCGATGAACAATGGGAGGACAGTGAACAGTGAACAGATAGATATCCATGGAAAAATACACGTTTTCGAGTCGGAGAGATAGTACAAGGGTTAAAGCACTTGCCTTATATGTGACTAACCTGGGTTTGATTCTTGGCACTACATACGGTTTCCTGAACCCCTCCAGGAGTGATCCCTGAGCACAGAGCCAGGAGTAAGCACTGAGCACTGCCAGGAGTGACCCCTAAGCAACACTGGGTGTATCCCAATCCTCCCTAATTAAGGGGGGAAAAAAGTATGAGAGACACATCAAGAGATATGAAAGGTCAATTCAAAAAGTTAACTATTCGTATAGCAGTGATTCTGCTTGGATAATCAAGATAGTGGAAGGGAAAGAACAAAGCAATAATATGTGTAATATTAGGAGGGCTCCTGAAAGTTCAGGTCACTAGCATGCACCAAGTGTCAGACATAAACTTTACCAACTCCTCCACTGAGATGCATTTGATCACTTGATGATCACTTGATATCCCGTTACTCATCGATTTGCTCAAGCGGGCGCCAGCAACGTCTCCATTTGTCCCTGTCGCGTGCTAGTGTAGCCCAATGGCGTCTGCTCACTACAGGAACACGAAGAGCCTCAAACCATTTGTTCAGGGTCTTGACGAAGAAGTCTAATCATCTCGTAGGTAGGAGGTCACGTGTTCTTTTGACGTCATGTGAAATCCAGTCGGTAACAGCTCTAGTCCAGTGGTTGTCTTCAAATTGCATTACATGTCCGGCCCATCTGATTTTCGATGCCTTAGCAAACGAGACAGCATCCCTGATTCTTGATTGTCAACAGAGGTTGGAACTCCGGATTCCTTCTCTCACTTGGTAAAGGTAAGGTAAAGGCCCTCCCGTTGATCGTCGATTTGCTCGAGCAGGCCCAGTAACGTCTCCATTGGAGACTTTGTTGTTACTGTGTCTGGCATATCGAATACTCTCGGTAGCTTGCCGGGCTCTCTGAGAGGGGCGGAGGAATCGAACTCGGGTCGGCCATGTTGGCCGCTTGTAAGGCGAACGCCCTACCCGCTGTGCTATCGCTCCAGCCCAGCTCCAGCTCACTTGAGTGAAGCGTGATGCTCCAAGCATAGCTCTTTCGATTCCTCTTTGGGAGACCCGTATAGCGTTCTCATCCTGTTTTTATAGGGCCCAGGTCTCTGAGGCATATGTTAATGCAGGAAGAACAGTGGAATCATAGAGATGTGCCCGAAGTCAGAGGTTCTTTATCCTCTTAGCTATTTCTTAGATGCTCTTGAAGGCGTTCCACGCTGCTCACTTCCTCCTGCGCAGCTCAGGTGCCAGGTTGTTCGTAATGCTGACTTCTCGACCTAGGTACACATAACTGTTGCATTTGGAGATGTTTGTCCTGTTGAGATCGAATGGAATGTTAGAAACGAGACTGTTTCTCATAAAGATTGTCTTCGTGAGATTCAGCTGTAGTCCGACCTTTCCACACTCACTATCGAAGTCAGCCAGCATTTGTGCTGCTTGGCTAATGTTTGGTGTTATTAGAATGATGTCATCAGTGAAGTGGAGGTGGTGTAGTTGCCGACCGTCTATCTTCACTCCCATTCCTTCCCATTCCAGTTGTCGCATGATGTTCTCGAGGGTAACACTGAAGAGTTTCGGTAAAATGGTATAGCCCTGCTGAACCCCTCTCTTTACGCTGATGATCACTTCCTTGTAGAATGGTGAGACCCTGGTGGTGAATTCGTAATACAGCTCACAGAAGATCCTGATGTACTGAGTTTGAGATGCATTTACCTTTGATAATATACTGTATTTTGATTTTTTTTATTTTATTGAATCACCGTGAGATGCAGTTACAAGACTTAATGTTTGAGTTACAATCATCCAATGTTCAACCACCCATCCCTCCACCAGTTCACATTCCCCACCACCAATATCCCTATTGAATTTTTTTATACATCCAAAGTTGTCCTTAGTTCACTCTTCATTATTTTAGATTTTAGAATTTAAAGATAATCCTTTAAAAATTTCAGAGTAAAAGTAAACTGATTACCAATAAAGCAATTAGAAGTGGGGCCAGAGCAATAGTAGAGCAGGTAGGGCATTTGTCTTGCACGCAACCGACCCAGATTTGATCCCTGGCACCACCTATGGTCCCCCAAGCACCACCAGGAGTAATTCCTGAGTGCAGAGTCAGGAGAAAAAAAACCTGAGCACCACCAGGTGTGGTCCAAAAAAGAAAAATTGTGGAGGGATGGGTACTCAATCATTGTATAACTGAAACCCAAGCACAAAAATTTGTAAGTCTACAACTGTACCTCATGGTGTTTCACTAATAAAAATTAAAAAGAAAAGAAAAATGAAAATTAGAATCAAATTGGCAACACTAGATGTCATATCTTGCCAATTCTGAGGGGAAATTCTTTTGATTCTAACACTTTACACCTAGCCCCCCTGGCATTTGCCTGTAAAAATTACAGAAAAGCATTTTTTTTGTTCAGCACCTCTCAATTATTTTTCCAAGACTCGGACACTAATACCGATATGTATTAATGCTTATGTGTGTGAAAAATAAATTTAAAGTACCAAAACAGCTATTGGAAACAAACTCAGCAAATTTATTTGTAGCAAGACATTTACACTATGGCCTGTGAGGTAGGTCCATCTGAAAATGGACCCTTTTCTTAAAATCACTCATCTCATTTAAAAAAAAGGGGGGGGGGCTGGAGTGATAGTACAGCGGGTAAGGCATTTGCCTTGCATGCGGCCGACCCGGGTTCGATTCCCAGTGTCTCATATGGTCCCCTGAGCACCGCCAGGAGTAATTCCTGAGTGCAAAGCCAGCAGTAACCCCTGAGCATCGCTTGGTGTGACCCAAAAAGCTAAATAAATAAATAAATAAATAAATACTATTGGAATGGGGTCAAGACAATGTCTCAGGGGCTTTGACTACTTGCCTGGCAAACATAAGACTACAGGTTCAAACCTCAGTACTGCCCCCATGTGCTGAAACCACCACAAGAAAGCTGCTGTTAGGAATCCCCGGTGAGGAAGGCCCCGGATGATGGCTCAGTGGCGGAGGAAGCACCCACGGCTCATCCTCCAATGTCAAGCATGCTCCAAGGCAATTCTAACCATGCCAAAACCAGGGCTTCCCAGATAGGGAATAGGAAAAAGAACAATTTGGAAAATTAATGGGCAACTTTATGGAGCAGTTCAACGTGTGCCAAACACTCTTTTTACGTACTTTGCATGGAATTTCATTGAAACCCAATAAAACAACTATAGGAAAGAGAAAATGGGGCTTCAGAGATGAGGCTCAGTGGCAGTGCAAGCACAGGGCTTCTAGTTTGAGCCCCAGAGCCACTGGGGATTCCTAACAGCAGCCCCATGCCAAGCACAACTCTGACATCACTGACATTTGTGGATTGCCTGTGCCACGACCAAGTGTGCCACCTTTTGAGCCCAGTGGCTGCATGTGCAAACACTAACCAAGGGTGTGACCACTGCAACAAAGTGTGTGATCCCAGTGTTTTCAGGCATGGGAAGGGAAGGGAAAAGAAAAGACTGAGAAGGTGCTGTTGGTCCTATTTAACTGGTGAGAAAATTGAGGCACAGGATAGCTTAAGACAAACAAACAAACAAACAAAAAACCTTCTGCGAATATTCTCACTGTTCTGATTTTGTAATAATCAGGACAGGCTAAACGGTCGCTATAATAAGACCATGCTTGTGTGCCCAGACCCAGTTCTTTACCCACCTAGATCTGGTCTTAGAAATGCTGGTGATAATTTTTTTGGGGGGTCACACCGGTGATGCACAGGGGTTACTCCTGGCTCATGCATTCAGGAATTACTCTTGGCAGTGCTCAGGGGACCATATGGAATGCTGGAAATCGAACCCGGGTTGGCCACATGCAAGGCAAATGCCCTACCCACTGTGCTATTGATCCAGGACCCCAATATGCATTTTTAATGAGAAACCTTACTCCTGACTCAAAAAATACGGTCTGGTCTACCCCTGTTCTCTGGAAAATTATCCTAGTTGTTTTGAATGTATTTCCTAGAAATCAGAACTATTCTCTTAAAATTATGTTTGAGACTCAGTTCATTCCAGATTGTGTTGTGCCATTTCAGCTAGGACTGGACCCTTTACAGAATTTTTCTTCTCTCTCTCTCTCTCTCTCTCTCTCTCTCTCTCTCTCATCTCCTGTCTTCTTTATTTTAGCCTAAAGATTCTTCTAAATATGCAACATTTTCTTCTAACTTTGTTTAAACACTGTAGTTTACAAAGTTGTTCATAATTACAGTTGTTTCAGGCACTCAATGTTCCAACACCAATGTCACCATCAGTGTGTGACCTTACCTCCACCTTTGTCCCCAGTTTCCCACTCCCTCCAAGACTCACCACTTAGCAAGCACAACACTGTCCTCCCGTTGTTTATCGATTTGCTTGAGCGGGCCCAGAACGTCTCCATTTTGAGACTTGTTGTTACTGTGTTTGGCATATCGAATACGTCATGGGTAGCTTGCCAAGCTTTGTCGTGCAGGCGAGATACTCTCGGTAGCTTGCCAGGCTCTCCAAAGGGGCAGAGGAATTGAACCCAGCTTGGCCGGGCTGGTTGCATGCAAGGCAAATGCCCTACCACTGTGCTATTGCTCCAGCCCAAGCACAAAATATTATATTTTATATTGCTTGTTACAATAGCTTGGCATGTGGAAATTGATGATCTCATCTTTCCTTACAACTGCATAGTATTCTACTGTGTAGCTATGCCACAACTTCTCGATGCATCATATGTAGTTGGATGTTCAGGTTGTTTCTATATCCATATCCAAATGAATCTCTGAAAGCATTGGTTTCAACAGCCCTAGAATGGGAAGAACAATAGTACTCACCACTCTGAATGATTTATAGAGACTAATACAAATTATGTAGCATATTTTTGCCATTTTAGGCAATAATCATGTATGTTGGAAACTAACAGATAATTTACAAATGGAGAGATTAGGGAACGCTTTGTGGAAGAGACGATATTTGAGGTCAGTTGGTGAAAAACAAAAGGTGTGGTTTTGTAGGGTTTTTTTTTTTTTTTAATCACAACTGAGATAGATGCTCAGGGGTTACTCCTAGCTCTTCACTCAAGAATTATTCCTGGCGGTGCTCAGGGATGCCAAAAATCAAACCTGGGTGGCCACATGCAAGGCAAACGCTCTACTGGCTGTACTATCACTCTGGCCCTAACAAAAGGTTTACTACAGAGAAATGGAGAAAGAGATCCATTTGGGCCAACCTAAGAGCATGAGTAAATGCACGGAAGCTTTTGACCCAAATACTGGAAGCATTTGACCCAAAGCATTTTTTTTTTCTTTTTGGGTCACACCTGGCAATGCTCAGGGGTTACTCCTGGCTTTGCACTCAGGAATCACTCCTGGAAGTGCTCAGGGGACCATATGGGATGCTGGGAATCGAACCCAGGTTGGCTGCATGCAAGGCAAATGCCCTACCCGCTGTGCTATCACTCCAGACCCCCAAAGCAGTATTTGACCCAAATAATGGGTCAAGTGACACAGTCCACTAAAGAGTAGTAAATACAAGTTGAATCATGACTTGGATTTGTATTTTGTCACAACACAAAGAAAACAAGATCATGAAGTTTTGGCAGACAGATGTTCTTCTCTGATTCCTTCCTTAATGTTGCTACCCTTGTGTCCTACTGAACAGCATAGAGGTTACCAGGGTTTGATCTGTATGGGTAGCTGCTGGGGAGTTGGTTCAATGTCTCTGTTGTGTTGGGAGAAGTTCACTTTGGGTCACAAGATGTTTGCCCATCAATATATGTCCAATGGTTCTCAACTGGGGAGCCTCAGGACATTCCAAGAAAACCACAGGTGAAAATTTCATCAATGGGAACCCATGGGCATAAGACGGAGCAACTGGTAGGTAGGGCAGAGGGAGAGTTGGCACAGGAAGAAAACAAGGTCAGAAGAGAGACGTGGTGGGGAAAGTGTTGAGAAACACTGGGCTAACCCATTGGCTCATTTGTTCTTACCTGGTCTCTCCCTGAGGGACTTGTAAAAACAGGACTCCCAAGTTCCTGTCTCAATACAAAGTGGCCTTGCTTTATAGTCTCTGGATACTAGAACTATACACAGAAATCAGATAGAGGGCTTCTATAAGAGCTTTGCTTTATAATGAATAGAACAAATAAACAAGGACCACTTCTTTTGTTCTACTTCATACCATGTCTGGGATTGCAGCAACCGTTTTGTGACCCGGAAGTGTCTCCTGACATAATAGAGACATTGAACCAATTCCTCCCAGTTACCAAATTCCAAATACCTCATTACATGAGAAAAATGAGATCCTGTCCACAATTATCCACATTGTCTGGTCTTGTAGCCAAAATTGTTCTTAGCTGACACAATGGGAGATAGAGGAGTTTTGAATTTTTTTTTCAAAAAATCAAATAGGACTCATTTTTACTGAGGCAGTTTCATTTATTTTATTTTATTTTTATTTTTTCAAGTCAATACCCACCAGCCTAATGATTTTGAAACTAAATCTAGTATTTGGCTGAGGTCAGAGTAGAACTGGCAAAGTCTAAATGAGCTGTGACAACAAAATACCAGAGACAGATGGGTTTAGTGTTCAGTGCCACTGCCCGTCAACACAGATTTCTGCTTGGTGTCTTAAACCTATTTACTATGTGTTCTATCTGGAAAAGTGTTTGGTTGTCAAAGAGAAAATACTTTGACATTAAATAATGATCTACAATATCATAATAATTGGATGCAACATCCATAAAGAGGAAATTACTGACTGGTATGGAAATGCAGCCTGACAGAACTGTTACTTTACTGCCTAATAGAAGGCAATGTAATCTTACTTTTCTGCAGTAGAAAAAAATGTGAACGATTCTACGGAATGATAAATGGTTAGCCCAACATCCAATTTCAGGGTATAGGCTCACCCACATGGATCTGTATACCTTTGGAGTTCTCTGGGTCTAATTGTTCGGATTCAATATAGTCTAAATCCTAATGCAACAGACACATTTTTAATCTTTGGGATGATGGTAAAAATATGAAGATCTGAAAAATGAAGAAAACATATGCAGTTGAATTTCTGAAAAATTGACAACCTCCTAAGAGGGCTGCAAAGGGAAAACTTGTGTTTACCTCCTTCTGTTATTACTACAAATCTATACACCAAACTGGCATCAATTTACACAGAAATCTACCTGACACACCAAAGAACAAAGTTTCTACAGCAAAGACCAAAAAACAGCATGCCCATGAATTGGAGTCAGAGCGATGCCCTCAGCAAAAAAGAAACACTATGTCAGGGCCAAACGCTGCAATTGAGAAGAGATTTCTTTCTTTTTAAAAAACTTTTTTCTTTTTTATTATTTTAGTTTTGGGGTCACACGAGTGATGCTCTATGTTAGATATGGGATGCTGGGGATTGAACCCAGGTTGGTTGCGTGAAAGACAAATGCTTACCCACTGGACTTACCCACTTCTCCAGCTCCGGGAAGAGATTTCTAAGTGCAAAGCTTTACCCTTGAGGGGGGAGGCTGGGATGGCACCCCAATCCTACAATTCCATACTTAAAACACTGGAGAGTAAGGCAAGGCCCTACTGAGTATAAAGGGGGTGGAACCCCTGGCAGGAGTCATCTTGATGACCTCTCTCAACCCTGCTGATAGCAGCACTGGTGGGTGCCAGATTGGATCTCTCTCTCCATAGTAACAGACTCTGAGGGCACATGCCTGAGGGGAGCTCCAACCCCCAGAGCAAATAGCTGGGCAAGCTGGGGGCTGAGAGATAATTATCAGGAGACACACAGACATGACCCTGCCCGTCCCCATCTGACTTAGCTAGCACCTCTAAAGCCAGGAAGCACCTTGGGGGCCTCCCAAAGCAGAGCCAGCTACTGGGGGGGAGGGGAATATGGCCTGCTGTGCTCCCTTGCTAGTCTATGGCCAGCCAGGTTCTGCTCCAAGCCAGCCCTGGGTGCCTGCTCAGTCACCAGCTGGGACTGAAGCCTGAGCCTCCTCTTTAAGCCACTGACACATGAGTTTCCAAGTGATTTCCCAAGTCTCCATGACCTCAGCAACCTGGTGGCTGCCCAGACACTCTTGAACTTAGTGCGTAAGTGCCCCCTGGGATTTGCTATTTCTAAAAGCTGGTCACTGGGAAAACCTACTGAAACGCAGGCCCCAAGCCCCCTGCCCGGGCCCATATGGAGCAATAAATATAATGGGGTGGTCAGAAAGATTCTACAGTGTATAAGGCAGATGGCAGATCTTGCACAAGGCAGACCCAGGTTTGATCCTAGGTACCCCATGTGGCCCCCAGCCCCTATCAGGAGTAATGCCTGAGTGCAGAGTATAGCCTCAAAACATACGTATCTATCTATCTGGAGAGAGAGAGAGAGAGAGAGAGAGAGAGAGAGAGAGAGAGAGAGAGAGAGGATTTCACCTTTAGTAATGGATCAAGACAACAGCCTGAAAAAGAGCACTAATGGAGCTATGGAAGCTGTGTGAAGAAGACTTCAAAGCAATAGTCCAAATGATGCTCATTAAAATGAGATCAGTGAGGACAGAGCTTCAACAAAGACAGAGAAAGAATGAGAAAACATCTGAGAAATGTCTCAACAGAAATCTTAGAACTAAAGAGTCGAGTTATGGGTCTCATTACCGAAAATTAAATAAACGAGGGGCCAGAGAGATAGTACAGCAGTTATGCGCCTGCCTTGCACATAGCTGACCTGGGTTCTATTTCTGGC